AAGGCAGCTTCGGATGTTTTTGCCTCAGGCGCTGATTTGGCTTTTGGCGCCCAAACTTGTTTAGATCTCGACGATCTTTTAACTGCCTCTTCCTTTTGCATTTCACGTGCTTTTCGCGCAAGGATCCTCGTCTGCGCTAGCTGTGCGCGGCGCTTGTGGATACGCTCCTCAAGAGTTGAACGAGTTCGTTTGAGTCGTGGCGACAGATTAGCCACTTGGCGCTTTCTGAACTCCAGATCTGCTTGGTAATGGAGTCCATCCACCTGATCCAAAGCCTTGGTGAATTGACGCGCGAGGCGTTGGCGTTTTCTTTGACGTGCTCTCTTTGATAGAGTTGGCGCACCTTCAGCAGTCGGTTCCTTGATCACGAAGGAGTTCAGATCTGCAAATTTGGCTTCATTGAACGCCGGTGGATCGTTGCAAGGTGCAACAGCAACAGCGGCGGAGAGATCGTCTTCTTGGGTCTTCAGATCTGAAGACCAGCAGATCTTTCTGGAGGAGGAGGCACTCCTGCACTTGCCAGGAGAGGCGGATCTGGAGGAGGAGGAGGAGGAGACGTACTCCTGAGAGGCGGATCTGGAGGAGGAGGAGGAGAAGTCGTTACAATAAACTCGAATGAAATAAAAAGTTGATCTTTTTATAAGATCTCCTTACACAATGAAAATAAAAAGTTTACAACTTTATCAAACAAACGCAGAGATCGTTTATCGGTCTTCTGCTTGTGTGGGATCTTTGCCTGTGTCGGGGTTTATTCGTGGACCACCGTCGATCAGATCTGATTGCTGAAAAATTGGGCAGAGCTTCGTCGATCCGCGAGGAGATCTAGAAATAGAAGCGCTTATCTCGACAAAAGCGAGATAATTGCTCTTCTTAGAATTACCACAACGGGATAATTCTAAGGATTGGATCCGGGTGATGTAGATCTGACGACTTTCGATCTCTTGCGTTGAAGAACTCGATCCGATCTCTCCTCCTCCTCTCTGAAATCTGTGCACTTTAAGTCTTCAATCCGGCAGGGCTTCGCCGAGGCACAAGAATTCTAAATCTGTAAAAATAAGGGCCTGAGGCTTGTATTTATAGGCTTGAGGGGTTGCGGAGCGGTTAAAACAACCTAAAGGGCCCAAATCCGCGTTGGAGACACCCTAGGGTGTCTCCCAAAATCCGAGACACCCTAGGGTGTCTCGGCTTTGGCCGAGACACTCCGTTGTGGTGCATTCGTCCACTTCCGCTGTAAATTCTTCGTCCGAACTCGGATTTGAGTGATTCGAAGTGCGTTGGAAAGACGACAAGGAGTTCTATCAGCCCCAATGGTTGGATCATCTGTATAATGAATGAGACACGAAGGGTATTGTTCTTTTTTGTAAACATCGCGGGGCTCCCGATTAGCCCGTACCTTCGTTATTCCGAAATTCTGTTAGCTCACGTAGTTCTTCGATTCACTTCAAGCGTTCACCGACATCAATCGAACTCCTGTGAACCGGATAGTGACGTTCATCGTCGTTCTTTAACACTGAGCTGTTCGCGGAGACCTATAGGCAAGTTTTGATGCCTACAAACGTCAATAGGATGAACCTCGTCGAACAGGTGAACCTCATCGAACGGGTGAACGTCAATAGGGCGAACCTCGTCAAGTGGGCGAACCTCGTCAAATGGGCGAACCTCGTCAAACGAACGAACGTCAATAGGACGAATCTCTTCGAACGGGTGAACCTCGTCGAACGGGCGAACCTCGTCAAACGAGCGAACGTAAATAGGACGAACCTCGTCGAATGGGCAAACCTCGTTGAATGGGAGAACCTCGTCAAACGGACGAACCTCGTCGAACAGGTGAACCTCGTCAAACGGGCGAACCTCGTCGAATAAAGGAGCGTGAAGTGCAAAATGTGCCTAACAAAGCATCACTTAGCGCCTCAGCCCAATTAGCCCCGATCCCCAATCCATTAGCCCACAGTTCATGACCCACTAGAATTTATGAGGGTTAATTAAAACAAAATATTTATCGACTTGCCGTTGGCAAGCCTCGAACAGAGGACCTTTTGAAACACAAAAACTTTAATTTTTCACTATGCTACTAAGAATTTATGAAAAGTACTAGTAGTTTATATATATATATATATATATATATATATATATATATATAGAGAGAGAG